TGCTGATGCTTCTGCTGACAATACTTATGATGGTGGTAATAATGATGATGATGATGATGATGATGCCACTGTTAGTACAAGAAATGTTGATGAATATGATAATCGTGAGAATGATTATGATAATGATGTTAATGATGATGATGGTGATGATGGTGATGGTGATGATGATGGTGGTGATGATGGTGACGGCGACAGTGATGGTCGTGATGCTGATGACGATGGTGATCACGGTGATGATGATGATGATGATGATGATGATGATGATGATGATGATGATGACGGTAATGATGGTGATGATAGTGTTTAGGGAAATGATAATGATGATAGCGATGATGATGACGTTGATGATGACGGTGATGGTGATGGTGATGGTGATGGTGGCGATAACGGCGGCGGTGATGATGATGGTAATGATGACGATGACGATGATGATGTTAATGGTGGTGATGATGATGTTTAGAGGAATGATGATGATAGCGATGATGATGATTACGAGAATGATAATGATGATGATCATCATCATCATCATCATCATCATGGTGACGATCAGGATGGTAATGATGGTGGTGATGACGATGGTGATGATGATGATGGTTGGGGTGATGATGATGATGCCGACCGACGGCGATGAGGGGGTGATGGTGGTGATGAGTGATGACGATGGTGTGCTGAGGATGACGATGTGGGTGTGTTCCTGTTCATGCGCGGGGATGTCCAGAGAACACAAGAATCCCACCTAGGACGTGAGAGAGGACAAACACACACCTCCTCGGCGCTCTCACAGAGGCGCTCCCGATGGAAGAAGGGCGCTGCTGGCCACCGAATCTGCACGGGCCCCACTTAACGCGAAGCATGAGACGACCTGACGACCTCTTCCGCATGAGGCTCTGGCCAGAAAAGAGCGACCGATTCCACGCGACTCGAAACCACGGTGGCCATCGCCGAGATAGGAGACCCACCGGGTTTGGGACGTGAGAGGTCCTCTGCCAGAGCTGCCGCCCCCCTACCACGACCAGCCTTCGCCGGAGCGACGGGAAAAAGCAAGTTCTGTCAGTGAACACCCCACCCGCACAGAACACCACAAGACCAGTAGTGGGCGCGTCCGCATCGAGAACGCGAAAAAAGCGCCTGCTCCGCAACCATAGGGTAAGGCGACGGAAGCAGCTCCGCAAAGCCAAGACTTGGCTTGCTATCTCTTACTTGGGCGGTGTGAGTGGGGCAGAGGGCACAAGGACGTGGCCCACGCAAGATGGCGGCACCGCCTCTCGACCGCAGGGGTCAAGCGCAACTTCTTGCGCCGGACCCCATCTGTGGGCACTCCCCGGCGCCTGCAGGGCGGCTCCCGCCGGGGTGCCGCAGAAGACACCACAGCGCAGCACACAATAAGGAGCGGTCCCGCAGCCCGCCTCGCCTACGCCGTTGGTGCTTCTCTCGCTGCTGCGGTCCCCGCCGGCCCGCCCCGCCCCTCCCCGCCCCGCCCCTCGGTCCACCCCTTCCTTCCCTTCCGTCCCTTCCTTTCCCTTCCGTTCCTTTCATCTATCTCTCTCTCGTTCTCTCTCTCTCTCTCTCTATCCCCTCCCTCCCTCCGTGCTTCCCTCCCCCCCTCTCTGGACCTCCACCCCTTCCCCCCACTTCCCCAGTGTCATGGCCACAGTCACGCTTACACGTTGGGCCCGCAACCCCAAGGCCAAGCGCAGGCGAGGGGGGGGCATGCTCACGCACATGGTGTCAGCCTCCAGTTTCAGCATACGGCTTCTCAAGCAGATCCAGCCCAGAGAGTCAGGGGTGTGAAAGGCAATGGGCTCTCTTCCGTCGGTCGGCGGGATTGGCTCGAGAAGCTGCCGCAAGAGGCCCAGGCGCAAGCGCTTAGTCCTGCACGCACGTCTACGTAGATTTTAAAGACCGCATGTGTACATATACGCCATATATATATGCATGCATGCATACACACATACATGTACAAATGTTTAATCATAAGTATGTACATACCTGTGAAATAATCAGAGAATATACACAGGAAGCAGCAATAGCGTGGCAAAACAAACACTCACTAAATGCAAATAGTAAGCAACTGGATAAACCCTCGTACTCACAACGCCTTGGTATTGCCAAGTCGGAGGTAGAAAAGAACAGATCCAGGAGCAGCCCAAACCAAAGCTTTTTCTAAGTGCTCAGGGAAACCTAGATAAACGTCGATGTCATCCCCATTGGCCCCCTTGGGTCTGGACCCAGATTTCGCGAAGAGGTGTGGCGTCCAAGAAAGCCCTCAAAATTCCCAATATGACCCGCAGGACCTTCGGATGGCCCAGAAAACCACGCACGCGCGGCGCCCCAACTTCGCCCGAGTTAGGCCCCCCCTGGGGCCCAGCGCTCAAGCATCAGCAGATCACCAAAATTGGATCGGCATCTGCCGACGATCCTCAGAACGTGTGTTCGCCCCAGCGTGTGTTTGTCCATCGAGGCCCTCCGATACTACGCAGGCGATGTCATGATCTGCCGGTTGGGCCGAAATGGGGGCAAGAACACACTGGGCCGACGCGCGTCCTGAGGATCCTCGGCATACGCTGCGGCACACGAAGGGACGAGGAGCACGAGAGGCCCGGGCCGCGCGCAAGGGCAGGGAGGAAGAGCGCACGCCGCTCCCCCGACCGCAAAACACACAGGAGAGGCGGCTGGCTGCGCTTGCGGCAGCGGGCGACCGGCAAAGCCCAGCACATACCAAAGGGCTCGCTTTGCGGATGCCATGGACCCCCCCACAATCCGATCATTGAAGTAAAAACGTGAGTATAAAACGCAGGAAAATCGTCTAAAAACGCTTCAAACATGCTTATTTACATGTTTAAGACATGTTTAAAACATGTGTTATACATCTGAAACTATTTGGCTACATGCTTCCTCTCCAATGATCATCGTGCACAGGGATCGCTGCGCAAAGCTCACACGGCAGCGCAGGTGAGCCCAGTCAGGAGAGCAACCCACGACAGACAGCGAAAGAAGCGTGCGATGCGAGCCGCGACGGCTTTTGTAAGCATGCACTTGTTCGTCCAGGCGTCGTCTGGCTGACGTCACTACTTGTGGCATGCTCGCAAATTGAATGCCAACGCCAACAAACGACGCGCAATAAAAATAAGCACAAGCAAACCCAACCCGCAAGAGGAACTTACCCTGGGACGTACCCAACCCACCCGAATAGATTGGCAAAACCGATGGGCCCATCTGGAACCAATGATGATAGGAAGGGACGCGATCCACGCCCCCCGAGACTGACACGAAGCAACACCGAAGGATAGGACGGGGCATGGGGGAACGGCAGAGGGACGGCGATGGCCACGAGATTTCAGGACCTCCCAAGAGCTCACGAAGATTGCGACAAGAACGCAGCTGACAGCCCCCAGGAAGGGCGACGTCCCGTGCGGCTCCGCGGAGGACCGCACTCCGCTGGGCCCCCCCTGCAGCGCCAAGGAAGTGGCGACAGCTGCGTCGCCGACAGCCCTCGGGGAGGAGAAAAGTGTGATGTTGGCCCGCTTGAGGCCCCCCGTCCGCGGGTCCTACCAGGAGCTCACCAAAGCGGCGACAACTGCGCCATTGACATGCCCCAGCCAGGGCGAGAACCCGCTTGGGTTCGCGTGCGCCCCACTCCCGCTGGCCTCCCAAGGAGCGCACGAGGTGACAAGCCTCAGGGAGAGCGAAGACCTATTTGCGTCCGCGCAGGTCCGCACTCCACTGACCTCCAAGGAGATCACTAAAGTCACGAAAGTGGCGACACTTCTGCAGTCGGCGGCCCATCGGGAGGCAAGGTCGGGTTTGGATCCCTCCAGGCCCGCGCCCCGCTGGACCTCCGAGGAACGCGTGAAGATGGCGACATCCGCACAGCTGGCGGGCCCCGGGGAGGCGAGGTACAGTCCAACCGGTCCTCCTGGGGCGCAGGCGGTGTGGAGAGTCTGTTACTCCAACCCCCCTCTTTCCCTTCGGGGAGGTGCTTTACCCCTTCCCCTACTGCCTTGCCCCTGGATCTGGACGGAGGGTTTCGCGAGGTGTCAAAGGGTTCCTCTTGAATCAGGATGGCTGCAAGACGGCCTAAATAGCCCAATACCCATCGGTCGGAAGAAGTAAATAGAACCATGAAATAAAGGCGTTGGAAGTAGATCGGGTTCCGCCCGCTCCCCACGGAGGACGGAAAAGGTGAAGTCACCAGATCATTGAAGTAGGAAGGCGCTCAAATAGGGGAACACAAAGTGACATAAACATAAAGACTCGGAGGTCCGCGCGGATTTCTTGCATCGGCGCTGGACCCCCCTTCCCTGGCGCGCGGAGCGCGCCAGGGGCGGCGCCGGAGGCGCCGCTGGGGGGCCCCAGCGCCGATCCGAGAAATCCACGCGGGCCTCCGAGTTTTTATGTTTATGTCATTCTTTGTTCCCCTATTAAATTTGATTGGAATATGGGACACCAAAAATGCATACTTGCAACGACCGATGCGTAATGATTCAAAAAGGGCACAAGACAGCACAGGACGGGTCGAGGCAGCCTCGAGCCTGCCTCCGAGAGGCCTCAAGACCGCCCCAAGAGGTGGCCAAAGGACGCCCCCCGAGAGGCCAAGATCGATGCAGAACCCAGGAAGCCCCTCGAAGTTTGCCTCCTCGCCACTTCGCTTCCGATCGGCTTCGGAGGCCTCGAGATGGCTCCAGGAACGTCCAAGGAGAGCCCCGAAAGTGGCCAAGAGGGCCCCCAAGAGGCGTTCTGAATCTGAGGGTGCCCAAGAGGCGATCTGAATCTTAATCTGAGGGCCCCCAGAAGTGAACCAAGGGTGCGATGATCATCAAAGACCGCCCCCCCCCTTGATCGATGGGAACCGACACGAGCCGAGCAGGCCGCCAATACGTCGTGCCCGACCAGCGGCATGCCCGAAACCAGAAGACCCTTCTGTGGAGAGGAGGCCGCGTCTCCCCCGGCAACGACGTCTGCAACGCGATGCCTCTCGGCATCGACGCTATGCCCCACGCCGTGTCTCCGGCCAGACGGATCACGCCGCAGAGCACGGCCAGGAGCGCGCCGCCGAGCACGCTGACGTACAGCGCAAGCCTGGCGACGGAGCACTGCCACAACGCAGTGCTGGACCACAGAATGCAGAAGCGCGTCGTCGACTTACAGTGGAGGCCGGTCCACAAGAAACCTTCACGCTCTCCACCGCAAAACCATCGACACCCAGGAAACCTCAGGCACCCTGGAGGCAAGCAGGGTGTCTCTTGGCATCGGCCCCCACTGTACCTCACATTCAGCTCATCCCGACACTGCTTGCTTGCCACAGCAAACGGATTACTGTGTATGTGTATCCCCCTCTGTGCCTCGGTGACCCTGACCGACCACTTGCAGAGCCGTAGCACACCTGTGCTCACACGCTCGACCGCACCCATTGTCGTCAATCCTGCCCGCTACACTCCCTGCAACACGGACTCTTGACGACCACCAGTTCGGTCCTCCCCCCGCCATCTCCCTCGATCTCCCACCTCGTGCGGGACGAGGGGGAAGCAGAGGGGGGAGGAGGGATTATATAGATGGGTCAGTGGTGCAACGGCCTTTCCTCCTGCTGGCAAGCACGTCCAGTCCGACAAGCCTGCGGGGAAGTGCGGCACCACTTCTCCACGTCTTGCAGCTTCCAGTGCCCACGGTACGGCCTCCAATTCCGGCAAGGCGACGCACGACGAGCACTGATCAGAGAAAGAACAACGTCTTATCGTCGGATCAAAGAGACGCACGCTGCGCAAATAAAGGCTGCCTTGCAGCAAACAGGGTGAGCCGATCCTGGGAATGCATGTTTACACGTTGTTCTCTACACCACTCGAGGCGTTGACTTCGGAGGAACCGCGCACACTAGAAAAATGCCCGGAACGGCACAAAATGTACTGCTGCCCAACGCCAAACGAGAAGGGTCCGCTTCCTAAACCGACGACAATCCATCCGCCACTGTGCAGCAGGCAGGCTGGAGCGTGATAGAATTGCTACGAGTTGCATGCTACGGCTTGTAGTCCCACCAGTCCTCTGGGCGTAGGTGGTTTAGAGCGTTTCCTCTTCCACCCCCTTCTTCCCCTTCGGGGCGGGGTTTACCCCTACCCCTCCCCTGGACCTGGACGGGGCGTGCCGCGGGTCGTCGGTGCGTCCAAAACGGCCTCGGCGAGGAAGCCGAAAAAATCATTGGTTCTACCGGGGTTGGGGCCCCACTTTGGCCTCCTGGGGGGGGCAGCGCTCATTGAAAGACCCCCCTCCTTGGATCGATCTCCGCCCCACTTTGGCCTCTTGGGGGGGCAGCGCTGATTGGAAGACCCCCCTTCTTTGCTCGATCGCCTCCGAGATGGCCCCACGAGCGCTCCCAAGGCTCCCAAGGGTGCCCCCAGGGGAGACCCGAGAGGTGGCCAGGAGGCCCCGCGAGGCACCCAAGGGGCCCCCGGGAGGTCCCCGAGAGGCTCTCGAGAGACCCCCAAGAGGCCGCCCCGAGAGGCCCCCAAGGGGCACCCCAGGGGACGCCCCAGGAGGCCTCGCTCGGCGGCGATGCCAAAATCACGGATCGCACCAGGGTTTTGGCCGCCTTCTGGCCTCCTCCTCCTCCTCCTCCTCCTCCTCCTCCTCCTCCTCCTCCTCCTCCTCCTCCTCCTCCTCCTCCTCCTTCTCCTCTCCTCCTCCTCCCCCTCCTCCCCTCCTCCTCCTCCTCCTCCTCCTCCTCCTCCTCCTCCTCCTCCTCCTCCTCCTCCTCCTCCTCCTCCTCCTCCTCCTCCTCCTCCTTGGGGGGGGCACTGATCAAGAGGACTCCAAGAGCGCCTGGGAGCGCCCAAGATGGCCTCCAAGATGGCTCGAGATGTCCCAAGATGCCTCGAGATGGCTCCCACGATGCTCCAAGAGGCCCCAGGACCGCTCCAAGACGGCTCCAAGTGGCCAAAGAGCTCCCCCAGGAGGCCCCGAAGAGGCCAAAATCCTTCCACCGAAACGTTCGGAAAATCAATGTTTTTGTCTCTCTCGCCTTTTCGCTTCCGATGACCATCCGAGGCTTCAAGATGGCTACCAAGATGGCCCAAGAGGGCTCCAAGAGCGCTCCCAAGGCTCCCAGGAGTGCTCCAAGAGGGCCCAAGAGGGGCCCAGAAGGCCCCAAGAGGCCTCCAACAGGCGCCCAAGAGGCCTCCAAGAAGCTCCCAAGAGACCCTGAGAGGGCCCAAGAAGCTCTCCGAAGCACCCAAGACGCTCTAAGGGGCGTCCGGGACCGCCAAGAGGACCCCAAGACGCTCCAAGTAGCACGAGAGCCCCACAACCAGAGGCCCTGAAGGAACGAAATCCGCAATCAAAGGTTCACCATCTTGCCAAAAAGATTGTTTCTTTTTAAACGCTGGGCCCACGGAAGGCCACAAAAACATTGCTCTACCAAACCTGTGGGAGAGGGTTCGGTAATTCAATCGTGCCATCAACAACCCACCCGCGAGCATGGTACACCCATGGTGGGACCTTGACGATAATTACATCGATACAACGTTGGCGCGGTCGCGGGCGTTGCCCTAAGTATCTGGACAGGCGACACGACAGTTCCAGAAAGCACAGGCAACAATTGATGCATCTATCTCACGTTGCACAAGTCAGTGCATGAACAAAACAGAGACTGGGCGTGACCATAGGCACAGGACTGACAATCATTCGCAGATTCAACACACGTGCATATAAAACCAGCTGGGTGGCAGCAGCACCTGTACGATCTGGCGATGCTGCGACTGGGTCTGTTGCGAAGGGCCTCGTTCGAAGAGTTACGGCATGCATTACCAAGCCCCCAGATCAACATTTCATGACCTACAAAGCGTTGGACTGTGCCCCGCTGAAAGCCGAGAGGCTACACCCTGCACAATGGGAAAAAATATCGCCTTCATATGATGCTACTCAAACAAAAATACATGCTGGAAACAAAACTGGTCCGTCGAACCTCATGGTGGGGACATCTGGCTGCGCGACCTCAGTTGCCAAGTATGCCGAACCCCCAACCAATTCTGAAAATATGCAAGTGCACCTCGACATATGGACATCCAGTACGTACGGCAAGCTGCACAGCTTGCCAACGCTTCGAACTACGAAGGCAGGGTGCCAACTGGTGGGGAATGCCACATGTTTCCACGAACCCGCCCCTGGATCTGTATCTCGCGAAGTAGCAAAAAATGCCATATGATCAGGGCGCGGGAACGTTGGATGCGATACGATGTCACCTTTGGGAGAAAAACTGCGGCAAATGCCATCAAGATCCGAATTGGGGAGCGGGGTGTTACATGTCCAGAATCTACAAGATATTGATGAAAATCCGACGACCTTGTCGGCGTGCGTGAGAGGAAGTTCTGGGCCGCTCGGCCTGGAGTGGTCCTGGGAAACGGCATCGCTTCTCCATTCCCAGAAATCTTGCCAGGACACCCTCGTTGGCTCGCTCGTCAACTCGAGGTGAATCGAGCCAGGTCCCAATCGAGGGCGTGACCCAATCGAAGGGAAGCCCCTTCCATTTGATCCCTTCCCCACCCTGGGGGTGGCGGTGACCTGGGGGCGGGGTCCCGGGGGGGGGGGGGGGCCAGGTCAGAATACGGCCCCCCCTTCCCACTTCGGGTCGCCACCGAGCAAGGTCGGCCTTCTGTCGCCAATTCAGGCCTGAGATAATCCAAGAGAGGCCTCAAATTGCAAATTAGCGTTCCAAGACGGCCCAAGATGCTCCCAAGACAACGAAAAAAACCAAGACGCCACAAAAGGGTTCCAAGAGCGCCCGCAAGAGAGCCACAAGAGACAAAACAAATGATGCTCATATGTTTGCTATAAATTTGAGGATTGTCGTTTTTGTTCTGCTTCCGAACCTCCAGCGAATGGGGCCAAATAGGCCAAAATCAATCGCCGCAAGACGGCGAAAAAGACACCCAAGACGGCCCAAAAATGGACCAAAAAACAACACGACGGTCCAAAAGGCCCCTAAGACGGCCCAAGAGGGTCCGAAGAGGGTCCCAAGAGGGACCCAAGAGGGGCTCATGAGGGGAAACCCGAATTGATGTTTCGAGCCGTCCGCCCCTGGAGGACCCCGGAGACAGCCAACAGGCGCCCAGGAGACACGGCCCCAAGAGACCCCAAGAGGCTCAAATGAGGCTATGCATCCACGAAGCCTTCGACCCTCAACCCAAGCACGGCGGCGAACTGGCCCCATGACCACTAGACTTCTAACCCCCGGGACCGCCAGCAAACCCCCCGGAGACCCCGACAGACCGTGAACATGTGTCCAAGAGGCCCCCTGAAAGGCCTCCCGAGAGACCCTAAGAAGCCCCCCAAAAAGTCTGCAGCCCGCCATCCTGGGGCCTCCCTCCTTATCCCCCTTTTCAGGTCGGCGGAAATGGCTGCAACTCCTGTCTAACACACCTAGTACTGCGGTTCGCCATTGTCTCGGGTAAACAGCATATGTTTCATCAACTCCGCCGCCGTCTTGACGAGCAGACCCACACACGCATGCCGACAGAAGGGGCCGGTAGAGTGTGTAATCAATGATACGTTGGTTCCCAAATCCACTAAAGAAACAAGGAGGTTGTGTGAAACATCAGGGGAAAAACGGAACAATGGGAAGGATGGTTGAAAAAGAACAACTGCGGGATAGGAGGGTACGGCTTCCATTCAAAATCTCGATTCCGTGCCCATGTCACAAGCTCCAGTCCGCACAGATACGCCGTGTCAGGCCATCATCGGCATCTGTTGCATCAAATCCGCCACGGTACTATAAAACTGACCCACACACGTGAGCTCAAGGGCGGGGCCGATAGAGTATGCGTTCGATTGTGTTTCGGTTGGCATCCCCAAAACACCTCACGAACTTAGGCTTACCAATTGATAGAATAGTTCCAAGCTCGCACGTGCACGGATTTGGTACATTTAATGTGGACCAAGAGTTTCGAGCTGTATTGGACATGAGTGGGTTCGAGACGCCATTCGCCGTCCTTCTAGCTCGCCATGCCGACGAAACGTGATAATGCATACGCCACGACCATGACACCCACGCCTGCCACACAAGTCCAAATCGAGCGGGCCACACATTCCGAACATCAGTGGGATACTTGTTCGCAAAAGGGTACTGACCAAACAGTGGTCGCCATCTGTGACAATCACTCGATCAGGTGCCGAAAAGAGGAAGAAACAAAAAAAATGCGCAAATCACTAAGCGTTCCAAAAAAGGTGTTCCACATCCCACGGGGCACATCATCGGCTCAAAAGTCGAAGAAACCTGAGTGCGCTCACTGCGCGCCACCCTCCACCACTCAATGCGTGCACATGGTTGTCGGAAATGGCGGGGGCGACACTCCCCACAGCTTAGAACAGGAACAAGTTACACGTGCACGCTGCCCAGCGACACCCCGAGACAGACACTCGAGCTCAATCATCGCGGCAACAGATCTTCCTGCACGAGCACCCGCACAAAGGTATACAATGTCTCTCGAATCGGCGGGGTAAGGCTGCGAGGATACTGTGAGGTCGCACAGCCGTGTTCGCACACCGCACCGCCGCGCAGCCCGAACTGCTCGGCCCACGACGCCGAGCAAATCAGCTGGGCACGGCGTCGCTTCGGAGGGGTGGAGCCTCGGATGACGCGAGCAGCGATGGCCGAGGGGTCGATGCGGCCGCAGAGAAAGTCTTCCAGAGGACCCTGTGCAATCGGGCAATATGTGCACGCGTTCGTCGACTTTGACTTTGCTGTTCCAGCGAGACGCTGCCTTGTCCGCCCTCCACCGCCCCTGGGCCCAGATCGCGCCAGGGAGCTCGAGCTGCGCCGAGCATTCGGAGCTGGACGCCCTGTCTTGTGGCTCCCCCTGCCTGAGCGCCGCTGCCACGACGCTCACTCGCGGGGCCCGCGCGCAACTGCGGCCGACGCTCTCGTCCGTCGCGCACGCCCCCCACGCTCCCGGCGAAGATCGAAACAGACCCGCGAGGCAAAACGCCCGGAAACCGGCGGAGGAGGGTCCTCAGTCTCAGTCAGCAGCTTCAGAGGCTCGGGTCGGGCGAAAGGGGGGGATAGCAAAGGGGGGGTTTGAGAATCAGCTCACGTAGCTGATTTTCCCGGCGCCTCCGGGCGCCGGAGGCGGCTATGTATCGAGGAATGGGCCCCTCGGTGAGGCCGAAACCAGCTGCATGCAGCAAATTTCGTACCCCCCCTTTCCCAATCCCCCCCTTTCGCCCGGCCCGAGAGGCTCCGAATGACGCGAGTAAGTCACCAGCATGGAAAGGTGCATGGAGCCACATGCCAGAGTAGGTCGCGGCGAGCCTCCCACACGACTGCGGCTCCGGTGCTCCGGGCCAAGAGGCGCCGAGGGCGGGGCGAGCAGCGCGGTCGCCAGCCATGGCTCGACGGCTCCTGGGTGGATGCCATCCTCTGTGCCGCCCGCATTCTCGAGCGAAGTGCTCGACCCCTGCCACAAGCTTCTCGCCTTCGCTGACATTCTCGCCCGCGCCGACGAAGCTGCGCAGCCGCCGCGCCACCGACGCGTGAATCCTGGCAATCTCGGCGCGAGGTCCGCCCAGTCGCCGAGCCTCCTGCCGGCGATGGTAGACGATGTCGCAGTTCTGGATCTCGGTCCAGCACTGGACGGCGGTGGACCCCAACGGCGGGAGCCCCCGCCCCGCGAGCCTGTCGGGCCCCTCTGGCCGGCAGGCCCTCCTCGCCAAGGCGGCGACAGAACACGCACCTGCTTCGCCAGCCTGCTCTCGCACTGGTCGGCGGCCGAAGTCCACTCGCTGCCCCTGGCGCCGTCCTCCGCGTCGCCGACTTGCTCGGCCTCCAGGGGGGACGTAACCGTTTGAGGGGTGTGCCGAAATGTGTGGTGGGGAGGCATGCGAACGCAGCCACTGGGGCCTTCGGTGGAGCTCCCTATGGGGCCACGAAACGTGTGAGGGGTGTGCCGAAATGGGTGGTGGGGGCGGCATGCGAACGCAGCCACTGGGGCCTTCGGTGGAGCTCCCTATGGGGCCACGAAACGTGTGAGGGGTGTGCCGAAATGGGTGGTGGGGAGGCATGCGAACGCAGCCACTGGGGCCTTCGGTGGAGCTCCTATGGGGCCACGAAACGTGTGAGGGGTGTGCCGAAATGGGTGGTGGGGGCGGCATGCGAACGCAGCCACTGGGGCCTTCGGTGGAGCTCCCTATGGGGCCACGAAACGTGTGAGGGGTGTGCCGAAATGGGGGGGGGCATGCAGCCACTGGGGCCTTCGGTGGAGCTCCCTATGGGGCCACGAAACGTGTGAGGGGTGTGCCGAAATGGGTGGTGGGGGGGCATGCGAACGCAGCCACTGGGGCCTTCGGTGGAGCTCCCTATGGGGCCACGAAACGTGTGAGGGGTGTGCCGAAATGGGTGGTGGGGAGGCATGCGAACGCAGCCACTGGGGCCTTCGGTGGAGCTCCCTATGGGGCCACGAAACGTGTGAGGGGTGTGCCGAAATGGGTGGTGGGGAGGCATGCGAACGCAGCCACTGGGGCCTTCGGTGGAGCTCCCTATGGGGCCACGAAACGTGTGAGGGGTGTGCCGAAATGGGTGGTGGGGAGGCATGCGAAAGCCACTGGGGCCTTCGGTGGAGCTCCCTGTGTGAGCTTGGCAGCCACTGGGGCCTTCGGTGGAGCTCCCTATGGGGCCACGAAACGTGTGAGGGGTGTGCCGAAATGGGTGGTGGGGAGGCATGCGAACGCAGCCACTGGGGCCTTCGGTGGAGCTCCCTATGGGGCCACGAAACGTGTGAGGGGTGTGCCGAAATGGGTGGTGGGGAGGCATGCGAACCCTGGAGGGAGGAGGGCGAGGAGAAGGAGGAGGAGGAGGAGGAGAAGGAACGCGGGGACCGTTTCTTCAAAACGAGGACCCAACACCACAGGATGGTTGGGAAAAACAACTTGTTGGACCCAGCTCTGGCAGCAGACCGAGTTCGGACATCTAGAGATTTGAAACTAACGCGCCTGATGACTCTAGATAGACTAGGTGCGCCTGCCAGTTCTCTAGCTATCTTACAGAACCGAGAGCACCTGCCCAGATGACACCAAGCAGCTGATTCCGCCCATAGGCTTTTTGGCAGTAATATGTACACGATCGACCCGAGATTGAGATGGCGAGCGGAAAACAGATCGAATTTGAGGAGACAAAATATTTTAGCTCTAACGGATTTTCAAATTTTGAGATATCGAATTTTAACCGAGCAAAATTAAGCAAAACTGGAGGTCGGCGG